TCGACAAATTTATAATCCAAAATCTCGTTATTTATGCAAACACAATGGGAAATATGAAATAAACAGAATCATTTAGCTTTTATGCTTCTAACTTTAAAACGATAACATTTCTCATCGCACGTACATTGGATTTTCGATTATTCTAGATCGGAGTAACTTTCTCAACATAAACTATTTTGATTTGTTGAAACTTTCAAAAACTTCTTATATTAGACTAGGCATATAGCTGCTCTATGATTAACTCATTACTAGTTAAAGGGCTCTACTGATGAATTAGTTATAAATATTTTTCCAGGGAGATAACGCTATAATTTCAAATAGGAACCATCTTGAAGGGCCTAGGTGTTGATATAGATATGTTAGTTCGATAAAGTGCGAGATTTGTGAGAGATTCTCGATTAGTATATGTAAAGACATCAAATGTTTGTGTATTCAATATCCAATAAAACTAAAGCTAACAATTAAATCATAGGTAATTATTATTTTCAATTGTTTTAGGATCGTCCGTGAAGGATATGAGCTTTGTTCAAACGATCTAGTCATAGATTGTGTTAACAATATCGATCTTTGTGTCTCTCTTTGATACAAATAAGAAGGTAGTTGTTCTTCCATATTGTATAACTGGAAATTGATGATAGAATATATTTCTTGAGAGTGTAGGTGTAGATTTAGAATCTCGCTCCTACTTCATACTCACATACACACCTCTCAAGATTTATTTCAAGTAAGAAGCAGATAAAATATAAGATTTATAAATAAGTTATATAAAAACGATGAAAAAAATTTAGTTGAATAGAGTTTTTACGAAGCATATCGACAACTATTTCAAAAATATGATCTTAAAAGCGACAAGATATTTCACTATTGTTGTTGAATAGTAAACTGAATAGGTCCAGAACCATATGATATGATTGAAAATGCGCCTAGCACATTTGGTGAATATGTTGTAACAACTAAAATACACTTTGCTGTAGCATCAATGGATAAATCAAAAGTGAATTGGCTGTTGCCACCACCATCATCATTATAAAAATACATATTTTGCAATGGAACAGAAGCATTAAAGCTATCAACGTAAATATATCCAAATGTATTCATATTACTTTGCGAATTAATTGTATAATATCCAGTTGTATTAACATTGAGAAGAATAGCTGAATAATAATAATAATCCTGTGAACTGGAACAATCACCCGTTCGACAGTATTTAGCACTACTACTGTTCAAAGTTGATAAATACTGTGATTGAACAACTGATGAATTACCTATTGAAAGAAAATGAAAATATATTATTTTTAATAGAAATAAAATTCAAAATTTTTCTTCTTGGTTTCATATCTATTATCATGTTGAGTGCAATATATTTAAAATAAGAAATTTTATTTAGCATAGTTATTAAAGTATTAATGATAGACAGTGAATTTAGTACTAATAAATTTCAAGAAAAGTGATCGATTTGAAAAAGAACTTCTCATAAATAATAATGATAACTATTTTAATTAGATTATTCTGTGAAAAAAGTGTCTGATAACATATATATCTATGTAGAAATGCTAATTGTTTTGTTCAGACGACGAAATTACTCTGAATAAATTGGATTCTTACTTGACACATTTATTGAAGATAAATCGATTGATGACACGCCTGTTGCTGTAATAGTGAAAGGTCCTGTTATATTTTGATTAAATGTTGTTACAACTAAAATGTATCTTGACGAGATTTGAAGATGTGCTGTTAACTGAAATTGATAATTACCACCTCCATCATCATCTAATATGATTAGATTTGCAGGCGGATAGTTAGGATCAAAAGTATTATAATATAAAAAACCATATGTATCTATGGAACTATTGCATACGAAAGTATAGGTTCCACTGATAGATACATTGAGCTGAATAGCTTGAAAATAAGTATTTGGTATTGCACAAATACTTGTACGACAATACATTTGACTATTACTAGTCAGAGCCGATGAGTATTGAGTTTTTACCATTGACGAAGTAACTATTAAAAAAATAAAAGAAGATAATGCAAACTTTGAATTATGTATCTTTTAAATCTTTCCGATTACTTAAAATGATATAGCTTCGCTTGAATTAAATATCTGACAACGTTAGCAATATGAAGGGAAATTGTCAAAAGAATTTCGAGTATCTTTTATTATCTATAAACTTTTTGAATATATATTGATGAATATCAAAATGTATTTTACTACAATTAGATGCCACCGATACTAATTATCAAACGAGAATTATCTAGAAGAGAATATCTATATTCCATTGAATTTTAAAACTAAATTAAAATATAAATCTCAAAATATTACTCTTTTTTTGTATAATATAAAACATTCTTTCGAGATTTAATATACGCAGACAAAAATATGATTTTTAATTTGAAGATTTTTGGAATATTTGAACAACTACAGATTGTATGTAAGAGGTATTTTTCAATCGATAATTTTATATTCGAACGAAAACTTAACAAGATTTTTATAATTTTTCAAGACGAATAGATTAAACTAAATTACTTTAGATATTTTGTTGAATATTGTATATGTTATGTAATATTGTCACTCTTATTTTATAGAAAATTTTAAAATAAATCAAATAACAAACCTGTTCTAGTAGGAATAGTACTTGTAGAATTTTGTGTCGTAGCAGTACTGATTTTTGCAGTATTTTTCAAATCCGTAGTTGTTGAAGTAGAACTCTGTGTCATGGTGGTAGTATTTTGCATACTGGTGGTTGTTGTAGTGGAACTTCGTGTTGCAACTGTGCTGATTTTTGTAGTATTTTTTATAGCCGTGGTTGTTATTGTAGAAGGTTTTGTTACACTAGTGACTGTATTATTCGGTGTATTTGTCAAAACACCTATAATACAAAAGATGATTTTCTCCAATAGTTGATAATCTATATATATTATTCGCCCACGGTAAAACAACGAATCAATAAGCAACTGCTGTAGCTGTAATTTAGTTTCTCAGATAAGGAAATTACATATACTTAGTTCTAATAGATCAAAAATCGTAATTTTGTTTGATAATGGTTTTGACAAAACGCTACATTACAGTAAATGATGTTGAAAGAACTATTAGAGAATACCTTTCATACGTATTGTCAATTCTAAATGTAGAAATTTTATCGAAACTCTACAAAATAACAAAATCTTCTCGTTATTATATCGTCTTTTAGAAAGTATTTGGCGATATTATATGTCGTGAGATATATATAATAAGAAGAAATTGTTGTTTTTTTCATAGAAAGAACCAGTGGCGGATCTAGGATTTTGGAAGGATGGGGGATTTTTTCTTTTTAGTATGGAGGGGCGATACCTGAGGAGGGGGGGCGATTTTGGTTAAAAGCTATTTGTTGAGTCCAAGCGAAGTAGTGTGAACCTATTTTTTCGTTCATTTTTGCTGTAAAAAATCAAAAAAAAATTCGGAAGGGAGGTCGATCACCCCTCCCCCTAAATCCGCCACTGGAAAGAACTTTAAAATTGAAATTCTATCTTATTAAAAACAATGATTAAAAATCTATATAGAATTGAAAGTATAAATAAAGCAAAAGCAATAAATTATCAATAGTTGATAATCAGTCATCTATTTCACAATGTTCAACATTGCGGAATAGGATATATTTTATAATTACTAAATCTTGTTGATAAAATGCTTGAAGTACTCTGCTGCGTTATCATTTGATCTAATAAATAAATGAACTTTAATAATTATTAAAAATCAATCACCAGAAAGAGTTTTACCTGATAATACATCGTCTTTGTTAAGTTGAGAAAAATGAAGAACTAATGGAACAACAATAGTCGCGACTATGATAATGATCAGTATCAATGCCAGAATAATCTTTAAGGTAGGTTTCATTCTAACAAAAAACAAGATTTATTTTAGAGAAGTTCGAAGTTTTATCTTATTGAACTGGAAACAAAATCTATAAATATTCAATCAAATTGTATGTATTTAATAAAAGATTTCAAATGATATATATTCTAAACATTAAAGACTAGACATAATATATTCTATGAAACAAAAACAAACTTCCTTGAATTTAGTTTAAAAATAAAATGTAATTTGTTAAAAGAGTTTTCTAATCGAGAAAAGCTATTAAATATGCTCAATAATTTTCATATTAACTGGAATAGGATGTTATTATAGGAAAAGGAAATGCTTCAAATAGAACAAATTGAAAAAAAATTAAAATATTGAAAATTATTATCCTCATTTAATGGCATCACTTTCATCTAAGATAACTATTTATTTACTAAATAAACTAGATAAAATCTCAATCTTGTTAGAAATCGGACATAAAGTACGAAATAACTGCTATTTATCATAATATCAACACTTTTTCAATGTTTCCAAATAATTACAAATATTTTAGTATGAAAAATCTAAAATCAATATAATAAATTTGACTATTTTATCACGTTGAAGAAGTTGTTGAGATATTTTCTTTGAAGAAGATTATGATTGATCTTTCTAATTCATTATCGTTCTATCTATACAATATTTACTAAACCAAACTAGAGTTTAGTTTTGTTTTAATTATCTTGAAACCTTTTATTGAGAATGTTAAAATACATCGTATAGATATTATATCCACATATTCATATCACCTCGAAATAATTGTCAGACAAAATAATAAATCTCAAGTGATATAGTAGAAGAAAATAAATTGTTTATGAAAATATTTTATAGAATTGTATTATAATCAAAGTACAATATTTAATTGTTTTTCCATGATATGAAATAATATCCTTGAAACCTCTTGAAAAATAAATAGAAATGTTTTTCTTTCACAATTTGTTGTTTCTCAGAAACAACATAAATATACAAGTTGACTTTATTTTTAGAATAAAAATCCTCATATTTTAATGAAAGAATCTATAGAATACCGCTTATTTAAAAATCAATTCAGACTTTTTTTCTTTGTATAATTTTTAGAAAAGATTATTTGAGAAATATGAAGTTTATATAATTATTTGACATATGATTGCATATTATTATATAATCAAGAAGGTGTGGGTGAAATCTAATAACTCCACACATTCATGAATCAGACACATAAAAAATAAAGATTATGAATAATATAAAGTCAATCTGTGAATATTTTATTTTATATGAAGAATGATATAAATCGAGAATCAGTAGTAATGAATGTTATCCTTACTCAACTACAAAATAAATGTTCATCGATTTGTCTTTTTTAAATTTATGATTTTGATCGGTTTTTAAGATATTCTCCAATTCGAGGTTGTTTTTCTACTTCTGCATGATTTTGTTTTAAGAATAGATAATTATCTAAAATCGTTCTATCTGATTTAAAAAGAGTTTCTGTTACTTCATAAAAGAATAAATCTACCCATGTTAAATTTTTTCCAACAAGAAATGGACCGTTGTTAGCATATTGTTTAGCTAAAACTTCGACATTTTGTAAATGTCTTGGTAATTCATTTACAAAGAAATTTTTTATCAGGTTTACTCGTTTTTTCAAATCTTTTTCATCACGGAATGACAAAAATTGTTTCATTAAAGCAGTAAGTGCATTAAAAATATCCTCAATTGTCGCTTGTTCCAAATTATCTTTACCACCTAATTGAAATCGATTAGCAAGAAAAGAACCAATAGATACTGATCGTGATAATTTAACACCATCAACTTCCAGAATAGGCATTAATTTAAAAGGTGTTCCATTTTTGTGTGATATCCATTCTTTACATTCATAACGAATATCTTCGAATTTTTGATCAGCAGCAATAAACATTAAACGAGCAATTTCAGCACGACTACGAGAATTAAAAGTATAGAGTTTGTATGTCGACATCAATGATGATTAGCTGTAAGAATGATGAACAATGAAATAAGACAAAAAAAATGAATATTACACGCAAAGTAATATTTATATGAGAAAAAAAAATATCACGTGTATATATACCTACGTACTTCGATCTTCCTCGCTGCTTGTATCGGCCGTTGTGTAGTTTATACATATAATAAGCAAACGTACTTTTTTTTCTTTCTAATATTTGTCCTTAAAATATAGAACTAGATCGAATATATTTCATCGTTGACGATCACGTGCGAAAAGCGTGAAGCATACGGCTACCATGTATTCAATCTTAGAAAATCGCAATGAAATATGATTTATATTATCATTATCATAATTCGATATTATTTTTTTTTGTTGATTTTTATTAGTGTCTTAACCAGAAAATTGTGGGTTCCCTACAATCTTATAAAAAATATATTCACAATAGTTTAAATTTTTCTTGAAACTCAATTGAATCGCCTGATTTTCGTGCTCCTAAATAATTCACCTAAGTTTAAAGAAGTATAAGATTTTTTCCTTGTTTGTAGTGTAAAAAACGATTCAATAATTCTACGTTTAGACTCTTTATAAGTATTCTTGTCTTCAAAAACTAAAAAAGTAATCAACTATTTATTTTGTTGTCTGATATAAAGGTTGTCCGGAAATTAATCAACTAAAAAGAAAACTAAATATTGCCTAATGGTAGAAGATCATTATATTAAAATAATGTACAATTAAGCGTTTAAACAAAAATGTGCTGATCGTATTCTGCTCAAAAATTTCTTAAAACTGATATCGAACTGGATCTTTTCTTGTTTTACTAATGACATATATTTTTAGAATGTGATCTCTCCTTGTATCACAATATTCCTAGTATTCGATTGATTTCTTTTGAATTTTATTCAAATCAATTTGTCAAAAAAAGCACGCGAGTGTGTCTCTGAGGGAGCAGGTGTGAGTATGTACAAGACTAGTTTCAAGCTTGCTTAAGGACCTTTTCCAGATGGCTTTGGTTGCTTATAAATTCTACTCTAATCATTATAAGATCACATTGAATAATATTTATCATTTGCCTATAAATTGAATGCGAAGGATGAGATATAAAAGTGTGAATGTGGTCTAACATTGCAAATATGCGGCATGTCTATTTGAGATAAATAAATCGTAGCATTATGAATAGATGAGTATTATATAAACGAAATACGTTCACTACTGTTTCAGCCTTTCTTAATGATTAATCATCAATGGTAGTATTTCTCTTTAGTTAGTTAATTCTACATATAATTTACTGTGTTGTGATTGAATTTACACATTAAATAAAGAGAAGGAGATTTAGTTCAACTCCACTGCTAGCAATGACCCTAGAGAACGATTCAAAACTAGGCATGTTATTTTCTTCTATATAATAAACATCCACAATCTCATTTCATTTTTTTTGTACTTCTATTACTTTTATAGTACTTTGTTGAGACAAACATATTTTGGATTATCAACATAAATCTTATACATCGTCTTTTTAGACACAACCAAAACTTGCTCATTGGCTTAAAAATCCTGATTACGCCGCTGTATCCGAGCATTATAGCACGTACTCATACTTTAAATAAATCTCCATATCGATAGAATCATGACTAAATAAGAAATTAAAGAAAACTTGATAATATACTCAATAAATATCAAATCATCGAACTATTCTAATAGAATAGTCATAAGAAAATTATCTCGGTAAATATCTAAAACCATCTTATATAATACGTTGATTATAATTCTAAACATGATTAAAACACTTAGACTATAAATATATATTATAGAATTTAAAAAATGTTATGTAAAAATAGAATGAAAATAATGAATTACACTTTTTTACAATTAATGTGTAAAAACAACGCAAAAGATGAAATTGGATACTTAATATAAATCTATTATTTTTAATGATTGAAACAACTGTTCATTTCATATAAGAAAGAACTATATCGATCTTTGTCTTATCAATATAATGAGAAAAAAACAAAATTCTTTCGTTCGTATATAAATTCAAAGAGTTTTTAAACTATTTCACAATTCGACATTCTTCTTTTTTTACAAAATTAATCATTTGTGAATTATGTCTCATCCAACACATACATCAACTTCAACTCATTCAACTAATCCAACACATACTATAGGTCCAAATCATTCACATAAGAATACAATTGAACAATTTGCTAATGCTGTAAATGGAAATCATCTTGATAATCTCGACAAATATCTTGATTCGAATGTACAAAAAACAGTTGATTCTAAAGCTGTTTACAATAATTTAAAAGAAGCTCATGATTATTATACAAAAGAACATACAAATAATAAATCTGCTCAATGGAAAATTATTCATACTGATGATAAAAATGATGAAAAAGGAAATACATATCAAGCTCGTCTTACATATGATAATAAAACATACAATATAACATATACATTTTCATCAGCAGGAAAAATTCAACGTATTGATGCCAATCAAGATACAACAAATATTCCAAAATAAACATTTCAAAGATTTATTCAAACAAATAGTTTAGTTTTTAGTATTACAATATATATATGTTAAACTAGCATGGATTTTTCTTTTTTAAATAAAATCTTGAATAGATCATACATATTTCATATATTCAAAATAATTTATTTCATGGCATTAAACGTGAATACCCCTCCCGATAGATATTTGTTGTATGATGAATAAAAAATGAATCATATATTTTTACTTTTGAAAACAAAAATAAAGGTCATTGATACTGTATGAGTACATATAGAAAAAATTTATTTTTGTTTAATTTAATGATATATGATTTATTATACTATATGTTAGTGTATAATAAAAATACTTTGAAGTTAGTTGAGCAAATTAATTTGTTCTATCTACTAAATTATTTGTTTTGAAATTAAGCTTTTCAAGTTCATTATTCTTAGTTTCATTTTCAATATTAATTATTGGTGGTGGTACCATAACTTGAACAGCCGATAGCGAGATAATACAATAAGCTAAGAAACAATAAAATCCTGCAAGTAATTTACAATCAATATCGACTGATACTGTTGCAGATAAATATGAAAGAAAAACTGCTGTTACGAATACATCTGCCATACTCCATTTTCCCCAATCACGAACAATTGTATAAACTGTATAATTGTATCGAGCATTTCGTGATATACTAAAATAGATTAATTTATTATTATATAATAAATATTTTATTTTATATTAACTTACTTCATAGCTAATAATAAAATTGCTTTAAGAAATGGAATAACAACTGAAAATATAACGATTGCAACTCCAGGAACATATGCACGGTGTTCGAATAGATATGAAATTGAAGTTAAAATACTTCGTGTTTGATGCGCCACAGTTATCATCCCGTTTAAAGCAGTTACGCGAACATTAATCATTGGATAAAATAAACCGGGTATAAGAAATCCCAAACTAACTATTGTTAAAATATTAGAAATTAAATTTCGAATTTGATTAGTTGTCCATTCTTTATCTTTATTGATCGATGACGAATTTGATGTAATACCTTTTTTATCATCATTTTCCAATTCAAGTGATTCGTAAGATGGATAAGTTTTTTTTACTGCATCGACCGTAGAAGATTCATTAATGTCATTCATTTGACTCTTTAAAAATTTCTTCTCTAAACAAAATAAATTATTTTCTTAATCGAAAAAATAAATACAACTCGATCTATAACAAAAAAATCTCCACATTAGTTATATATAACATGTCATAAATATATATTGTTTTGTAATAATAAATAGGAGAAAAATAGTCAAGTAAGAAATACAAACCTTCTTTTTTTCTTTTTCTAACGAATTATCATGCATGACGAACAGAATGAAAAAAAAATCCTTACCAATACTTTATGGTTGAATATAAAGCGTGGTTAGATAAAATACAAAATATTACTGATCAGAATATTCTATGTCAAAACAATGTACATCATATATTACTGTTTAGTATTTCCAATTAAATCATAAAAAAAATTAATCGAAGAAAAATTTAACATTTTTAATTTCTTCATACATCAATAACTATATAGATTGAAAAAGTAATTTCGAAATATAAGTATCATGTAAATATGGTAAGTATACGATATTCGGTAGAGTTTACTATGTTCATTTGTATATGTGAAGGAAATGGATAGTGAACAAATAGATCTCATTATGATTTTATTTGAATAAAAATAGATTCGTATTAAGAATTATTCTTCAATATAGAGATGATTATTGTCATTCAGTGTCGTAGTAGCACTATCGAATATGAGTATTACATCATTTATTGTGATAGAACTATGATCAGTATGTACGATTTTATTATAAAAACTATTCTTTTTTGCTTTTTTCGTTGCATTTTATATCATTGAAAACGATATCATTTGTGTCTATTCTTGATGGTACTTTTAACGTCCTAGTTGATATTATTCTCTTTCTCGTAGAGAAGAGTCTTGCTTGTATGTTCGCACTTTACTCATTGGTTCAAAAATTAGGTAAAGATATGAAAGGAATTTTCTTTCGTAACGGTTGACCCAAGGGTAATCGGAGTCGAGGAACTCGAATCTGAGTCCTGTTTTGTTTAATTATATAAATCAATAGCTTGGTAGTTGTTTAGTAACACGATTTCTACGAGAAAGAGCTGAGCGAGTCTTTAGACAAGTGTTATTTGTTATTAGTGCTTCACTAACTCTATTTGCTGTTAATACGGAACTATTGTTTAGCTACAATCTTCATCCAACACAGCAAATAAATAGAATTTGAGTTTCGAATTATTTATCCGCATTTAACATTTGTTAATAATGAATATTTATCAATCTATTCATTTATTATTACATATACTTGTTTGATGGTAGTCGATAATTCCGATATGTAACATATCTAATCCCTGTAAAATAATTTTTTATTTTGTAAGTTAATTATAGTAGATTGTCTAGTTTTTAATAAAACTCAATTTTATTTTCATCTATATTTGAGAAAAGTCCGTATGCATTGAGAAAAATTTGATCATAACCTTGACCTAAATTAAATTGTATACTGCGTAGACCAAGTGCAAGATCATAATAACGATCAGCAATTCCAGCTCGTCCAAGATCAACGAAAGCATTAATGAAACATTGTTGATCATCAATAATTATATTTGGTAAACAATAATCACCATGAGTAAAAACAAGATCTTCTTTTGGTGCAATAGAAATTAATTCAGTAAGTAAATCATTATCTGTAGAATTTATTTCTGTTACTTTTCTTGTTTTCAATTGATAAGATGCTTCTTGAAATTTATGAATAAGACGCATATCAAATGGGCAATTATTAATATTTATTTTATCATGAAGTTTACGAAGTTCATTACCTAATAGAGTGACTAATATTTCTGGATTATTTTTCCATTTTGTTTGAGCTGCATCTGTACCATTAATTCGAGTCATTAATAAATATTCAAATAAATCATCAGTTTCATAATCAATTACATTTGCTACTGGCACTTTTTCTTTTAACCATTCCATTTTTAATTTTTCATTAAAAAGATTTTGATGTTCAGTTTTAATTTGTATTTTTAATATAAATTCTTTACTTTGATAAACTTGTGCATTAGATTCTCCAATAGTAACACATTCCCAATCAATATTACCATATTTACATTCAAAATCTTCACCAAGTTTTACTTTCATTTAAATCTAAAATATGAAATTTTTTGTAAATCATGAAATAGTCAAGAAGAACACCTTTTTGTTTTATTACAACTGATGGAGAAACAAAAAAAAAGATAAGAATAACAGATATGAAACGAAGAACATATTCTGATTCATTGTGTACACAGGTCTTAACCAAAAAGAAAAGACTTAATGTCAACGCAGATCCTTTGGTATTAAAATATATCACTTGCATGTCTTTTTCAGCGTCATTATGCTAATGAAAAATATATAAAGTAATAATCTTGTTGATTTAGTCTACCTTCTCGGAAAATGAGATTCACTGAATCAATTCTATAAGCAACAAATGTGTTTTGAATAATTAGTTTATGATACCAAATCAGTTCATCTCCAAGTGAGACGACTTCCAAGTCAGATGGCTACCAACTAAGTATTAAAAAATAGATAAAAGTGAAGAGATTTACACCTCACTGTTCCACCACTTCACCCTCTTGAAAAAACAAAATATACCTAAACATGAGCTGTGAAAAGCTCTACAATTTATAGAAGATCGGTTATTTAACAGCCGCAGACTTTGTCTTCAACTTGGACAGAATTTAGATTATGTTGAAATAATTCTTACTTCATCTTTTTAGGAACTGACGTTTTATTAAACAGAGGATATAATGCATCAAAAGAAAGCTCTACCATCTACAAGAAATAAATCATAAAAAGAGCAGAGAAGAATAAACCAATCTATTTTGTACCCAAAAAGAATTATTGTTTCGTACGATCAAAATTTGATCGTTGAACCCGTTTTGTATCTCTTTACTTTTCATCTTTTCTCAAACGTGTTATGAATGATTTTGTAGAGAATTTCAAGGAACTATCTTTTAATCAGAAAACTATCTTCATCATACAGAAAATAGAAGAGACACCCGATATTTACCATCAGTATATTGTTCCTTTTTTAATCATATATTGATATAAAAACAAATAGTAAAGATCTTTTAACTTCTTTTCGAAAGAATTTTCTTTTACATAAAATAAAAAATCTTACCTTAAAATAAAGTCTGTAGTATATATTATTCGAATAAAGAAAAAAACATGAATGTCAAATACACAGAGACAATGTTTAGTCACACATGTAAAAACAAAAGTAAAAGAACGAAAGAAAAAACTTGCAACATCATAATAATAAAAAAAAGGTAAAGAATTATTTTTTTTAAATATTACAACTTTAAATCTAAATACTAATATTAAGTTTTTCTTTCACTGGATAATCAAATAAAATAGATCAATTAATAATTATTTTTGAGAGGATAGATGTGGATCGTGTTCCGATATTACTCACACTCTTTCTATAATGCGAATACTTTTGTGTAAACTGAGAAAAAAATGAAATATCAATATATTCGAACTGCTAATTCATCGAAGGCTTTAGTTCATCCAATGTAAAATTGTACACTATCGACGTAATCAATTTAAAAAAAAGACATTTTTAATAAATATGAAAATCACGTAAGAAAAAAATTGTTTAATAATCAGTAAAATAAATTGTTTATGTATTTGATTCATTTGTCACAACTTCTTCGTCAGGTAGTCGTCGATATTCCGAATTTGAAAGTAAATAAATAACAAATAAACTAAATAGACTTGTAAATACACCAAAAAAATTTAAAATTAAACGTCGTTTTCGTTCAGCATCATTGGCTGTAAAAAATGATGAACCATATCCATGTTCACTTAAACCTGTTAAAATTGCTACTGTAGCTGATAAAAAAATAATTTTTCCCCAAAGACGATGACTAAAATAAAATAATTATTGTTTAATCATTTAAAACAAAAAATTAATTTACGATGGCATATATGCTTGTCGAATATTTAAACTTAATTGTGGAACTAAAAAACTAATAAAACCACAAATCCATTGTAAAACAAATAAAGCTACTGTTGTTAATCCAAGCCATGAATGAAATGATTGAAAATGGGGTCGTTTACCAAGATATTTACCTCGAATAACCGCAGCAAATCCAATACCAGCAAATATCAATGATAATATAAGTAAAGAAGCATGAAGAATTTTAACTATTGGTTTAGGTGTTGATTTAAATGTTCGATATAAAAGTATAGCATTTCCATAACAAAATAATAAACCAAGTGTCATCATTAATGGATGAAAACTAAATGGATTTGTATCCCAACTGTAAACATATTTTGATGCATAAAGTTTTTTATCAAATAATAAACCAGACAAGAAAATACTGAACAAACCAAGTATTTCACAAACGGTGAATAATGTTGGGTAAGCTAAATCACGATCTTTACCAAATATAACAAACATTTTATTTAATCACAAATTTTATCGTTAAAAATATCTTGAAAAAAGAAAAAAAAGTATAGAGCATAGTTTTATATATTCTCTCAGTTCTTTCAAACTTGGTAAAGAAAAGATTTCTTATTATAAATAATCAAGTATGCACAGCAGAAGTCTCATTCGCCTATGAGTATGTAACATTTATAATGATGACCTAGGCTTTTTTTCTTATCTTAGTTACCTTTCTAAATATAATGATGATAAAACAGATTTTAAATATTATATTTTATTACGACACAAAACAACAAGTTTTCATTTTTTTATTCTTTTTAGGATTATTTTATTTTTTTATCAATATAATTTAAATAAAAAACTTATTTGAACGAACTATTCGATTTTGTTCTATTGAAAAATAACGCATTCTCTTGATTTATCTAAATTAAATACGATTAATAAAGCAACGAACAATTTATTACTCAGATTTAAAGCAATGTAAAAATAATCTTTCAGAATGAATTTGTTTGAAAATATTTATCAATGTTATCCAAAAATACGAACATAGTTTATGTATAACATTCTTTTGTGAAATAAATGCGTGTTATAGAAAATGTCATATGAATAAATAAATAAAATTTAAAGGAGTGAAAATCTATGTAAATGCGAAGATCTCTCATATCATAGATAACGTTGAAGGGATAATGTATGTATCATAATGTTGCAATATTTTTTCTATCTCTTGTATACTATTCCATCCGGAGGAGTCCTCGAAAAATAAAATTCATTCGGATTTGCTTTTCTATATACGTTAAAAACATATTTAGCTTCCTTTAAGATGTGGGTGTCTCTTTATTCACACCCACACCTCCGATAATAATCACTTTAATATTCGATATTTTTTATATAATAATATTCGAAAAATAATGTTAGTATAAGTCTCAAACCAACTTGTGTTATTGAAACACACGTGATCATAAACGATTTCTATTCTGTAAATGACACTTTTGAAGCGTGTCGTTCTTTTTTTTTCTTTTCTATTGATGTGTATACGACCAATGTAATAAAAAAAAGTATAAAATTTAATGCAAGTCATGTGTGTTCATGTTATACTATTCGCTCCAGTCATTGAAAAGGTAATATATAACATAGTATCATATGAACAAAAATTATTTTACTAAAATCAATATTTATTTTTATCTGGATATGATAAAATATTTATATTAAAAAAAACGCATTTAATTATTGTTATATTCATGATTAACGGTAAGATATGTTTGATTAATTGAAATAAATATTAATTATATAAGTTTTTATTCTATACATTTATATTTATTTATGTATATTAGAAGTCAATAATATGAAATAGATTTCGAATAAGTTGAGGGCTATACATTGTCAGATTTAAAATATGAGTTTTTTATGAGAATATTTACTGTATATATATAATATTTGAATATATCAAAGTTTTACAAGGACTTTTTATTCGTTATGGTTCAGTAGAGCTTACTAACTAGGATTTTATAAATAAATGTCTAAGAAAGATTGAAAAAACCTAGGATATTATCATTCTCTCATATACAGGATCAATTGATTAACCTGAAAAATTATTTATCAATATTTTACAGAAAATAATATTAAGAATTTATTAAAAGTATTCAGAGACGATCGATACTCAAAATTGCACAGAATTTGTTTAGTTTTAGTAAATAATTATCTATTCATTGTTTACATAAATTTTGTATAAAATATAGTAAAAGAAATAATTTTGACTATTTTCATTAAAATTTTTTAATTTGAATAGAAATAAAAAAAAGTTTTCAACGTACAAGCAATATTATTTCTATTTCTCATACATTATTACATTAAGATAATATTTAAAACATTAGTTAATTAGATATTTTTTAGAAAGAAATTTAAAAAAAAGGACGTCCTATTTATTGAGAAATTTACATTATAGAAGTTGTAAGCTGAATGACACGTCGATATATGTTAAGAGTCGATAATAATGTTGTTTTCATAATATATGAATAAAGAAATCACGGCATCTATTGTATTCAATCTTGAGGGTGAGTGTGGGTGTGGGTTTGGATAAATACAGAATACAAGACTATATCCACCCTCATCCACACCCTTTATACTGCACTATCCATGCCACCAAAAATCCCGAAAAAATGGGCGATTTTATCGCGATATAGAATCCGATTAATTGTGAGATCTATCGCCAAAATTAAGGACTTTTTGCCGATTATTTTGTCGAAAAGTCTTGATTCGTAATGATTCCGACAAAATAAGCATTTCTTACTGGCGATATAATCGTTAATATTTTGAAAATCGCGATTCATCGCCCAAATCGTAGCGATTTCGAAGACATGGGTATTACCTATGGATATTTTATTGAATTTCTTTTAAGACAATAAAATCCGCGCTTTTTTAAAAATTAGTTAGTTTTTGTTCGTCTAATTCCTCGATCAATTATCTTACTGGAATTTAATTGAATTATTTATATGATAATATTAATTATAAACAAATGGAAAAAGAAATTTCCTAAGTTTTAGAAATAAAATAATAATTCGATTTCTCCTCATAAGTCGAACATAATGAATGGTGTCACATTGTTGTATAAAAAAATAAAATATGCAACGTAAAAAATTCTAGAATTTTTAAAATGAACAAAATGTAGAGCTTTTTACGTTGCATATTTTATTTTTTAATAGAATAAAATGAGACTACTTAAGTATGTTCGATTCATTAAATTTTACAGTTTTGTGTATGTCGTTAGTTTTTTTTTCAAAATATATCTAAAATAATTATTCGAGTTTTGTAGAGAATTTCAAGGGTCATCTTTTGATAAAAACAAAATATTTTAATCAAAAGAGTAATAGTAAAAGGTAGATTATTTCCGGTCTACCGATTACAAATCGAATATTGTTATTCTTTCACTTATTTTTTTAAGTGTTTATATTCTATGAATTAGATTTATTTATTAAAGAAAAACTGTGCTATAGTTATATTTTACATGACTTTTCTATACATAATAATTAATCATAGTACAATCGATGTTTGAAATAGATCATTGATTAGGAAGAAAATATTTGTCTGGCTTTTCTTTATCATGAAGTCTCGAGAATAATCAATTCAAAACAAAATAATCTTTATATATTCATTTAATTTTTGTAGATAAAAAAATGGCATTTAGAGTTACACGATCAGTTCGATTGCTAACTATATTTATTATAATAGTTGTCATATGTCTTTTTATTACAATATATTATCATAATGAATCATCATCATCATCAACTGAAACAAATATAATAATTAATATTAATTCTTCAATGATAGAAATAATAACAAATAAAACAATTATTCATACAGCTGTTATAGTATCATTAGCTAAACACGCATCTCATATAGCTGAATTTCATTTACTTTATGATTCATGGCGTTTT